TATATATATATATGTCGTACCTAATAGCCAGAACGCACTTCTCTGCCTACTATGCAAGGCCCGATTTGCCTAATAAGCCAAGTTTTCATGACTTAATTATTTTTCGACTACCTAACCTATCTAACCTAACCTAACCTAACTTTTTCGGCAACCTAACCTAACCTAACCAATAAAGATAGGTTAGGTTAGGTTAGGTAGGGTTGGTTAGGTTCGGTCATATATCTACGTTAATTTTAACTCCAATTAAAAAAAATTGACCTCATAAGTAATGAAAAGGGTAGCTTTATCATTTCATAAGAAAAAAATTAGAAAAAATATATTAATTCAAGAAAACTTGGCTTATTAGGCAAATCGGGCCTCGCATAGTAGGCTGACAAGTGCGTTCTGGCTACTAGGTACGACATATATATATATATATATATATATATATATATATATATATATATATATATATAAAGGAAGGGGGTGGTAGGAGAAAAGCACACAGAAACTGTATTGGAGGGGACCTACATTCCCTCCAATGCGTTATGTGTGGTTTCATCCGAGGCTATGGATCCCCCTTCTTCCAGCCAGAGGTGGTACTCCCTTCCCTTTTATTAATATATATATATATATATATATATATATATATATATATATATATATATATATATATATATATATATATATATATATATATATGCAATTGACGATCACAAAACTGATCATTTTATGCGGAAAATCCACAGAGAAATAAGAAATGAGGTGAACGTTTCGGCTTGTTAAAGCCTTTGTCAACACCAGACTGACCCTAGTCTGGTGTTGACAAAGGCTTTAACAAGCCGAAACGTTCACCTCATTTCTTATTTCTCTGTGGATTTTCCGCATATATATATATATATATATATATATATATATATATATATATATATTTTATATATGCTTTAGGATTGTATCGAGGTCCATCCCAACGCATTCTCAGGTTTTGCTCGTCCAAATTAATATTATATATTAGGATATATAGTTATATGTATAGTTAGACGTAGGTTAGGTTAGGTGTTTAGGTTCTGTTAGTAACTATTAGCATAGTATCTTCTGTGCGTACCTGGAGCATTAGATGTGGAATTCGAACACAAAAAGTGTTCGAAGTACTGCTCGATAAAAATTCGAACGTAATCAGGTTTGAGTCATGTGTAAAGTGTTCCTCAAGTGTAGAATGATTGGCAGCTGGATTATTGAGTATTTGGCCACTGCTCGTGAGTGAGTGAGTGGGAATGGTGTGAGAGTATTGGCATGGGTGCCTTTACTCATCCAAATTGCTTTCATTCCATTCGCCATGCCTCCTCATTTCTTCCCACACACACTCACTCACACCTTCCCACCCACTCTCACGCTTCCTCATACCTTCTTTCCCACCCATATGCTTCATCATACTCTACCCACCCACCCTCAAACTTTCTCACATGCTTCTCATATTTCCTCATATCCTTCCCAACGTCTCCCATGCTCTCTCATAACCTCACCCACTCCCTCATACGCTTCCTATTCACTCCCATGCTCTCTAATGCCTCTCTCACCACCCACATGCTCCCTCACACCCCTACCCCCACTCACTTTTCGCACTGGGCAGAGGATCTCTCAATATCGCTTGGCAAAGTGCCGCCGAGTAGCACACTTGACTGTCCTCACTCATGTCACTCAATCTCCACCCAGACCCCTTCACTCGAGTCTTTCTCCCGAGGGTACGACGCCTTAACACCTCATCTAGCTACTCTGAAGGAGCTGGGAAGGAGAGGGATGGGAGGTGTAAAAGACGGGAAGAGATATACGAGTCAGAGGGAAGGAAGGGAAGAGCAAGCAGGCGATGAGTCACAATAACGTGGCTGAAGAATGTTGACCAAAAACACATTAGAAAATGAAGGGACGACGACGTTTCGGTCCGTTCTGGACCATTCTCTAGTCGATTGTGTATTGGTATTCCCTGTTTTGTTTGCCATTTTTCCTCTATTACATCCTCACCGTGGGGGATATTTCTCATCCCTCCCTGTCGTCCCTAGCACCATAGAACCCACTTCCACACCTTGCCATACCATAGCCTTCCACTCACTCACCAGTTCATGAAGACGAAAAAACATTGGGTAAACAGTTGAGACTCAGAATCATTTAGGATCTGGTTTTAGCTTTTGAAACTGATTCTGAGACATTTTTATCCATGATTTTTACCTCGTGTTTACCAATAATCACACATTTGAAAACTATTTATAACGTACAGATCGTTTATTTTTTTATCTCGGTTCTGGTGGTATTTATCTCTTTAGATGCTCAGAGTGTAATGTTCGGTACGTAGGGAATTCCTCACGAAAAATTTATGCATCATATTGGGAACATGTGAGTTCACAAATACTGCACAGAGTAGCCAGATAGGTAAGCTGCATCCTCTGTTATTAGGAATCACTGAGAAGAAATGGGTCACTTTTTAACTATCAGAAATTACACTGTTTTGATTTTTAATTCATCATGGCTAGAGTTCAACATCCCTTTATTTCACCCAGATGTTATCACAAATTCATTTGCAAGAACGATAAACAGCTGGTGTGGAATTACACGTGTGTATCCACCCTGGCTGACACCTATGAATCCTACGGTGTGTATCAGACATGAGGTGTGGCCAACCGTAAAGTAGCAGTGGAATTAAATAAAAACAGTTGGAACTTCGGCACACGTTTATCCATATATCATCTGAGACACTTGACACGTGAGGCAAAGGGTGCCATGAGCTTTCGCGAAGAATTCGGTTCTAGGCTCATTGACACATCCAGAGACCCAAGAGCTGCCAGTTTCTAGTTTCAGCGTCTCCGGGAAGCCATCTTAAAGAATTCAAACGCCTGCAGTGTCCTCGGTTCCTTTTCGGAGGCTGAAGAGCTCCAAAAGACTCACAATGTTTAGTTTTCATTGTATTCACTAACTTGTAGGCTAAATATTCTCGTCGGCTTGGAAACTTCTTTTGATAATTACTTATTTACTTATAATCTGTAACTTTTAAAAAGTCAAATAAAGCAAAATAAAAGAAAATGGAAGGGGAAACTGTGATACAAGAAAAGAACATTACAATTGCAGTGAAGGGAACGTATATATATATATATATATATATATATATATATATATATATATATATATATATATATATAATTATTTAAAAATATACATAAAGACATGTATGATACACGTCTTTATTCATACAAAACATGCACACATGTTCAATAAAATAAAATTAAACCTTTGTGGAGGATATTTTATGAAACAATTTGTACATCTGCATATATAAAATTTTATTTTGCAATTGTTATCAAATTCATATTTGAGATTAAACAGGATTTATATACAACGTTTAGAATAGAGAGTGCTGTAATTAGGCCGTTAGTGCACCCGGTTGTAAGGGTCATAATCAAGTGCATTACAGTGTCCCGCGTGTAAAGGGTAGCATTATAGCAGCTGATATCGCGTCCTATCCGGCGTTGTCAGTGATGGCCTCCCCATTATTGACTAAACGGGTAACACTATAACATTAAATTATAACCAAAACCAAAAAAAAAAGGATTCATGAACCAATAATTTCCTTCCAAAATACTGGAATAATGTTGCCGTACTGTATGTGTGATGACTGTCCTGCGTGACGGTGTGTGTGTGTGTGTGTGTGTGTGTGTGTGTGTGTGTGTGTGTGTGTGTGTGTGTGTGTGTGTGTGTGTGTGTGTGTGTGTGCACTCACCTAATTGTGTTTGCGGGGGTTGAGCTCTGGCTCTTTGGTCCCGCCTCTCAACCGTCAATCAACTGGTGTACAGATTCCTGAGCCTACTGGGCTCTATCATATCTACATTTGAAACTGTGTATGGAGTCAGCCTCCACCATACATGTGTGTGTGTGTGTGTGTGTGTGTGTGTGTGTGTGTGTGTGTGTGTGTGTGTGTGTCTGTGTGTGTGTGTGTGTGTGTGTGTGTGTGTGTGTGTGTGTGTGTGTGTGTGTGTGTGAGCACTTAGTTGTACACACCTAGTTGTGCTTGCGCGGGGGTTGAGCTCTGGCTCTTTGGTCCTGCCTCTCAACTGTCAGTCAACTGGAATACAGATTCCTGAGCCTACTGGGCTCTTATCATATCTATATTTGAGACTGTGTATGGAGTCAGCCTCCACCACATCACTGCCCAATGCATTCCATCCGTTAACTACTCTGACACTGAAAAAGTTCATTCTAACGTCCCTGTGGCTAATTTGGGTACTCAGTTTCCACCTGTGTCCCCTTGTTCGCGTACCACCCGTGTTAAACAGTTTATCTTGATCTATCCTATCAATTCCTCTGGGAATTATAGAGATGGTGATCATGTCTCTTTTAACTCTTCTGTGTGTGTGTGTGTGTGTGTGTATTCATCTCAAATGAGCCTCAGAAACATTAGAAAGAACTTTTCCAGTGTCTGAGTAATTAGTAAATGGAATGCATTAGGAAGTGATGTCATGGAGGCTGACTCCATACACAGTTTCAAATGTAGATAAGATAGAGCCCAGTAGGCTCAGGAACCTGTACACCAGTTGATTGACAGTAGAGAGGCGGGACGAAAGAGCCGAAGCTCAACACCCGCAAGCATAGCTAGGTGAATACAGATATACGCGCACACACACACACACACACACACACACACACACACACACACACACACACACACACACACCAAAGAGCCAAAGCTCAACCCCCGCAAGCACAAATAGGTGAGTACACACACACACACACACACGCGCGCGCGCGTTCGTACGTGCGTGTTTGTGTGTGTGTGTCTTACGGTTTGAGTGCGTTTGTGTGGGCTAGGATGAGTCTGTGAAAGTTTTAGTTGCGTTAAAAGTGCATTGGCTTAAGTTAATTACTGAGTTGAATGAGTATATTGGGAATGAGATTGATGGGTTGAATCTGTGGTTGAGTATACTGGTGCGTGGAAGGCAGGATTTGACGGCGTCTTGGCCTTGGCTGGGCTTACAGCCAAGCCTTACTGTCACCCTCTGGTGTGGTCTTGGCGTCCAGGTCTGTGGTCTTGGCGTCCAGGTCTGTGGTGTGACTCATTTGGTATGTTGGCTTGAGTGTGTGATTGTTTGATTGTGTGTGATTGTTTGAGTGTGTGTTGGCTTGATTGTGTACGTGTAACGTGAGTGTGTATAGTTACCACATAGTTACAGCTGTACTGTCAGCTGTCTCGCCTATGTGACAAAATCCCAGTTACTTGGGTACAAAGTAACGTTCAGGGAATTACAAAAATATACAGCGATTACTAACAATAGACGCATTCCGAGAACCAGGACACACACACTGTCGTATAGAATGTTATTTTTGGATTTACCATTCAACAGCTTTTTAATTATTATCACGTAATTAGTAACATATAGATGAGTTGAAAACACAGCCTTGAACACACTCTAAATACATGCTCCGCGGCAGTGTAGCTGAGGATTGAGGATTTACGAACTGTAAAACTGGGGTTCAAAAGGATAGGATGGTCTCAGGTGGGAATCCTGGAAGGTTAGGTTAGGAAAATATCTTATATTTTGTCGACTTATAAATGTTATGAAAATTGCTTTCCGGAGATTTAAGTGCTCCAACGATGCAGGTGTGGACAACGAGAGGTTACTGACAGATATTGAGTGTCCACTGCCTGACGTTGAGTGCCACTTGTCAGATATTGAGTGCTCATTGCTAGACATTGAGTACCTCTTGTCAGACATTGAGTGCCCACTACCAGACGTTCCAAAGTTACAATTCATCCCATCCTGTTCCCTCAGTTTTAGAGTCCTGCACCTTGTATTTGAAAGCCACGAGCGCTCCAGAAATGTTTTAAACTGTAGTTAAATACAACTGTATAAACATATCGACGCAGATAACAGCTAGTGCACAGAGTATACAAAATATATGTTATTTTTTTCCATCGATGGAAGTCCGGTACACCAGGCGGTACACATACACGCAAACAATCCCCTTCTCTCCAAATCTACTTCGATGCTGTGCCTTTGACTAGAGAATGAAGACGAAGGTCGTAGTGGCTGTCATATCCGCTGGAGCCGTCCACACCTCCCCAGCAGCGAAGCTCAGAACGGCGCACGTCCCCAGCAGAAAGCAGAATCGCCGAATCTGAAGCCTGTGACCACTCAGCGCCATCAGAAGCACCGTTAGGAGAGAGGTGGGGCTCAGGGGCCGGGCGGTAGCGGTGGACGGCGCCTTGCTGGGGTGGAGATCGTGGTGGAGCCCAGCGGGCACCTCCTCTGTGATGAAGGGAACTATATTTTAGTAGATGATAGGTTGCTCAGCTGAATGGTGACTTCACCGTGACAACACAAGCTGAACGACAGTCATCCCGATAACTGGAATTATTGACCTCTGAAAAAATGTTATTCAAAACACAATTCCCAAAAATGATCATATCAATACAGGGCAAAGTGCATACATGCATAAAATTTCAAGAATAATACATTATAATAATATTGAAATCATTGTACAGATAAAAAAAATTATTGTATGTCAATAGATTTGTTGAATGTCAATATTTAGAGTGAAACGGACGAGGCCTACAGGAAAATATATATGGGAATTCAGGCGGTATTACTAGTTAATTAAGGCAGTATTGCTGTGAATGGGTAGTTGTTCACTACAGCAGTTTAGGGGGTCTGTTCGTAACGATCTGGGGCATGTTGAGAGGTGGCGATACGGGTGATTGGAGTGTTTTGATGAGTGTATCTGGAGTGTGTTAATGAGTGTATCTGGAGTATGTGTTATTGAGTGTATCTGGAGTGTGTTAATGAGTGTATCTGGAGTATGTGTTATTGAGTGTATCTGTAGTGTGTGTTAATGAGTGTATATTGAGTGTGTGCTATTGAGTATATCTGGAGTGTGTGTTATTGAGTGTATCTGAAGCGTGTGTTAATGAGTTAATACTCTCACAACTATGCATTTGTCAGTAGGGTAAAGTCTTTGTAATTCATTTTCTAAGAGTTTTGGAGTTTTCGCAATCTATTTTTACATTTTGTACTTAGGATGATGATTGGAGGGAAGTCAAAGGGGCTGGATGAAGGAAGGTGAAGGGGGAGAGGCTGGATGAAGGGGGGGGTGGATGAAGGGTCTGTTAAGAGGCTATTTGGATGGCAGGAGCGACTGAAGCACGTAATTGGTTGCTAATTAGCTAGTGAGATCAGGGGGCCGGAGCAAGTTGTGATGTTCGCTACAAGAGTTTAATGAGGACTGTGTTTGGCTCCCCCGCCTCCACGGTTCCGTCAGCTGCTCCGTCAGCTGCTCCGTCAGCTGCGCCGTCAGCTTAGGGCGACACCCGCGGGGTACCTTGTTGGTAAGTTGTAGTTTACGAGCGTGTCTGGTACTTGGGACCGGCAAGGGACATTACGAGTCCAGTAGCACAACAGTCTGCGTCTTGAGCTCACAAGCCAGGAGACCAGAGTGCAATTCCCGGGCAGGATAGAATCGTTAGGCACGTTTAATTTCACCTGATTCCTCTGTTCATCTTGCAGTAAATAAGTATATAGTAGTTGGCACAGGAGGATCTAGAGAAATCTAAGTACAGGCTTCAGGTCCCCGACAGCGGGACTTTTGATTACTGGAGAGAGATTGTTGTTGTAGTTTTAGATTCAGCAACTTAGAACAAAAATTCCAAAGTAGCACGGGCTATGGTGAGCCCGTAGTGGACTTACCTGGCACAGGAGCGGGGCTGTAACTGTGGAGTGAGGGTTTTCTGATCAATAGAGATGATTCAGTATTAAGGATTATTTCTATTATGTTCTGGTGTTTGGGATAGATTATTCTTCATTCCTCAGTCTATTGTTCCCGAATTCAAATTTCCACTGAAAGGGCCAAGTTATGTTGCAATTCTTTTGAAGTAGTTTCGCAAGCTCAAAACTCTCTCTCTCTCTCTCTGCAAGCTTGTAAATCTACACCTGGTGCTCACAGACATCTATGTAAATCGGGGGTGATGTACGTGTCATATTTGTAAATCCCACAAAGCTTCACTCCTGTGATTGCACGGCGATGCGGTTCTGAATTTTTGACAACCAGTGTAGAATGGCTACTCTATATTCTCAATTCTTTTTGGTACGTGTTTCGACTCTCAACTTTACATATTGATCGTCTCGTCGTGTGTAACGCCATCTACCCTTCTGGCAGTTCATACACAGATATACCCAATCATACACCTCCACACCATCCACACATATTCACCTCCACACACACATACACCAGCTGTTCCCACGTGAAAAAACACACCCTGCCCCTTTCCTCTTTGATAAAAGTTCTTTATATTTTTTTTACAAAAATATTCCTTGTCGAGGACGCCAAAGTTACCCATTCAAGGTGAAGGGACTGGCATGGGGTAGTTCACGGGTGTGAAGCACTTATTCACGCCTATTCACCAAGATATCTAGAGTACCAATCATATATCGAGTACTATTGAAAGGGTTACTGACCCCCTGTTTGGTTTGATATCTGTGAATCAGTTTGATTTTTCAAAAGCTGATGTAGTTACAGAATTTTCATAGAAACTGCCTCGTAACGAATTGCTCGGTCGGTCTAGTTTGCAACTAGCGAACGAACACTGCCATGCCGTTCGATGCCCGCTCCTCCACCGCACGTTAACGTAACAATTTCATTGTTAATTTCGATGGCCTTCGTTCAAAATATTTATGCTTTTTATTTATAATATTAAGGCTACTTTGTCTTTACGTGGGTAGCTTAGTCTACTTGCTCTTGGTCTCCCTCCACTCCAGGTCCTCGTTTTAGGTCCTCCTCCACTCAAGGTCCTCCTCCACTCAAGGTCCTCCTCCACTCAAGGTCCTCCTCCACTCAAGGTCCTCCTCCACTCAAGGTCCTCCTCCACTCAAGGTCCTCCTCCACTCAAGGTCCTCCTCCACTCAAGGTCCTCCTCCACTCAAGGTCCTCCTCCACTCAAGGTCCTCCTCCACTCAAGGTCCTCCTCCACTCAAGGTCCTCCTCCTCTGCAGCTTCCTCACCATCTGGACACCGTATTTACCATCCTGCAGTCCACATGGCTTGTATACATTCTAACCTCGGCACTATTAAAAGCTGTTTCGATACGAACCTCCATATGCCTGTCGGTCCCTCATCTTCCTGTTCGCGCCATTGGAACATCATCTATCCGTGGCAGCTACGATCTCCGTCGACCCGGAGGGGTGTTGGGTATGTGCTATCAATATCCTTTCATTCCAGAGGATAGAGGACAGACTAAGTGTGGCCCACACTTCTGTACGTGTGTGTCTCGGTAACTTAACATTCTCGGTAGTCATGTTTAACCAGGTAGGAAAGGATCATTATCTCCTAAAATTCATATCTGATCTCCTGAGATTCAGATCTAATCTCCTGAGATTATGAACTAATGTCCAGAGATTCAGATCTAATCTCGAGCTTCCACCTTTTCCTCACGCTGTAAACCTACCGTCCACTACTCTCTTCCTCATTGTAAGCCTCCCTTCTACTGCCTCACACTTTCCCTGTTTATACATGAACTTTAGTGACACGTATTCGCAATACAGTGAAAAATAAAGCAACAAATTCCTGAGAATCAGTGGTACAATCCCCCTAACGATCTGTGGTACAATCCCCTAAGGATCTGTGGTACAATCCCCTAATGATCTGTGGTACAATCCCCTAAGGATCTGTGGTACAATCCCCTGAGGATCTGTGGTACAATTCCCTAAGGATCTGTGGTACAATCCCCTAAGGATCTGTGGTACAATCCCTGAAGATCTGTGGAACAATTGCTGAGGATCTGTGGAACAATTGCTGAGGATCTGTGGAACAATTGCTGAGGATCTGTGGTACAATCTCTGAAAATCTGTGGTACAACCAAGAAACGTGGCCTCTGCCCACGTGAAGATAAATCCCCATATTGTTATGATCTTGTTAACAGGACAACACGAGTCATGCTTCAATATATAATGTAGTTCGTTTAGCAACATAAATTCTAGCTAAATCGATATTGTATTAGCTTAATAGATTACTCTAGTTGACACAGAATGATTGATCAATCCTTTAATTTGATCAGTCAATTAAAGTTAATTCTCTCCATGGGTTTTGTATTCTAACTCTTCTGCGTTGTTGTATTCTAAAATAGCTTTTACCAATTTGCCATTTGCTACGTAAATTGTTTTCAAACTACAAACGAGCTGCAAGACTTTCGCAACTTGCTTCGTTGACTCCAAGACTGTCACAGCTTGCTTCACTCTTTCTTAGTTTCTGGCAGCTTGCTTCACTCTTTCTTAGTCTCTGGCAGCTTGCTTCACTCTTTCTTAGTTTCTGGCAGCTTGCTTCACTCTTTCTTAGTCTCCAGCAGCTTGCTTCACTCTTTCTTAGTTTCTGGCAGCTTTCTTCACTCTTTCTTAGTTTCTGGCAGCTTGCTTCACTCTTTCTTAGTCTCTGCCAGCTTGCCTCACTCTTTCTTAGTCTCTGGCAGCTTGCTTCACTCTTTCTTAGTCTCTGCCAGCTTGCTTCACTCTTTCTTAGTCTCTGGCAGCTTGCTTCACTCTTTCTTAGTCTCCAGCAGCTTGCTTCACCCCCTCTTAGTCTAGCATCTTGCTTCACTCCCTCTTAGTCTAGCATCTTGCTTCACTCCTTCCATGATAGTCCCGTTCTACTCCTCTCCTCACGAAGCATGACGAGTGAGAACGTAAATACATTGATCTACTGGAATGAATTTACCCCATCCTCCTCTTCGTCCCCTTCCCCGTCTGTAATTAGAGATGGAGTGCATCATATCACTCCCACGCAGGAGTCCAACGAGCCTCTTTAACTGTGTGTTGGTCACGCTGAATATACCAGTTCCGGCATTAATTAACTATCACACCGCAGCTGTTACTAATGTCGCTTTGAAGCTCGAGTGTTCAGGCTTTTTTACGTGTTTGGCAAGTGCTTTACTTGCCAAATGTATTAACAGTGACATTATAAGGAGAACTTTCATTAGTGAAAGTAATCTAGAATACTCGGTATTGGTTGAGTGTAGATGCTGTGTGTAGTGGTTGGGGCCTGTAGGCTTGTGTCTCCTGTGTAGCAGAGTGTCACGGTGTGTTGTGGCCTGCAGCTGTCTGTCTCAGGACCTCTGGCTGTCTCAGGACCTTTGGCTGTCTCAGGATCCGTGGCTGTCTCAGGATCCGTGGGTGTCTCAGGATTCGTGGCTGTCTCAGAATCCGTGGCTGTCTCAGGAATCTGTTCCTGTCACTGCTAGAGCCTATGACAGTCTGAGGACGGGTGATTATCTTAGAACCGGTTTTTAGAACCCGTGGCTATCTGTCCGAGGGCGTGATATCCCAGGAGACGGCCGCCACTGTTGCAGTAATCCTGGGCACTGATTGCTTCGCCACTTCTCTTGATTGTTCCCCGCTGCTAGGCGCCGTAGTGTGTGTGTGTGTGTGTGTGTGTGTGTGTGTGTGTGTGTGTGTGTGTGTGTGTGTGTGTGTGTGTGTGTGTGTGTGTGTAATTACCTAAGTGTAGTTACAGGATGAAAGCTACGCTCGTGGTGTTCCGTCTTCCCAACACTCTGTCATATAACGCTTTGAAACTACTGACACTGTGTGTGTGTGTGTGTACATCTAGGCCACTATATCAGTTCTTGTCAGACGCTCTATACTGACAGGTGACACGCTCTATACTGACAGGTGACACGCTCTATACTGACAGGTGACACGCTTTATATTGACAGGTGACAGACATCACATTAGGAAAAAAATCTATGTGTCATATCATACTCTCGATTAGAGGATTTTCAGGTTATGTTTGCAATGTTTATATATTGTATCACATTTCTAATCTCATATTAGTAGAAATTTGTCTTCGTCTTGATGGCTGTGTATAGACACTGTGTCCATAATGTTCAGAGTGCTGCTCTAACCTACATAACAATATTACACTTATTTACAGGGTGTTTCACTGGCTTGACTTATGACAGTTTAATATTCATTACATATAAAATCATCACAAACTCGTAATGTCACTGACCACCAGACTCACCCAGGGTGGGCTGTGTAAATGTTTTAATCATCTGAGAGACGTTACAACTAGAGTATAGCTGAAGGGACATAGAAAGGTATGATCAGCTAGCAAGCATTAAAATGTCATTTGAATACATAAAAAACTTTCAAACCAATATTAAGTAACCTAGGTAAGCCCAATACTAGGATATACAGCGCCGGCCTGGAATCTACACAAAGCGCAAAACCCTAGGTGAGAGACGAAACAGAGGAGATATGATCACTACATACCAAATACTGATTGGAATAGACAAAATGAATAATGCTAACCTCTTTAAATTTAGCTAAAAGTAGAACAGAAAGGCATGAGTGAAAGGTGGAAATGCAATTTAATCGAAGAAATATAAGGAAATACTCGTATCCTGTACGGACGGTCAGAAAGTTGAATGCACAGAAAGAGGAGGTTGTGGAAGCCACCTTGTGCACAACTTTAGGGCCAGGTTCGACCAAGAATTCAACCGATAGGAGAGGTTTAACGAAGCCACATCAGGTACAGCAAGACTAGCAAGCGGGACATATATAAAGATCTAGATATATCACTCAACGTATGCACTGGTAGGTAAGTGCATACACACACCTGTGATTCCTCTCTCCCACACACTTCTACTATTTCACGCCCATACCTGAACACTACCTGCACCATCCCACACCTACATCACCCCACACCTACACCACCTCAGCCACTCACCGTCCAACACGTGCACAGAGACCGTTGCGGGCGTGGCGTGGGCAGGAGCACAGGTGTAGTTCCCCGCGTCTCTCCAGGTGGCGTGGGTGACCAGAAGCCAGCTGGTGCCCGCGTGTTTGTCTGTCACCACCTGCACGCCGCCTCGACCACCTGCGTTGATCTCCTCCACCTCCTCCTCTGTGTCTGTGGGCGATGCAAGAGACAGTTTACTATTTAAAGTTTACCAATTATGCTTTACTAGTGATAGTTTACTAGTTATGGCTTATTAGTTATGGTTTACTAGTGATAGTTATTAGTTATTATTAGTGGTTTACTAGTGACAGGAAAACAAACAGAAAAGAGAGAGAGAGACAGAGGCAGACACAGAGGACAGAGACAGATATAGGATGAACCTCTCAAGGTCCTTCTCCTTCTCTACCTGGTCCAGGAGCTTCACAATCCTGCAGGTTATTAATGGTTTGTTGAAGAACGGAACGTCAATGTGTCTTGAAGTCCTCAGCTTGTATACAACTTTATTTCTACTCTCAATGTTTACTTCATCTCAATCTGAACATCAACACTAAATCCCCCCTAAAAAACTCGAATTAAAAACGCAAAAGAGAGATCCAAATTAGTAAATCAACAAAAAACTATAAAATTTTAGAAATTTTAGTAAGTGCTGGTTGTAAAGACGAATCTTCCTCACGATGGAACTTTAAAAGCTGTGGCAACAGCTGATTAGCTCCCAGCGGCGTCTGTAAAGTGCCCAATATGTCTGGGAGAGCTGCGACTTACAGCTTTGAAATTCCCGACTTGGAGGACCTGCGTCCGGCGGAACGCGTCGCCGCCAGCCGATGTATCACTCGGAATTGAGTTACGACGCCAAGTTTTGCTTTTCCTTTAATACCTTTCCGTGCCTGGGTGAGTAAAAGGGGGGGGGTGGGGTGGGGGGGGGGAGGAAGGGAAGGAGGAGGGAGAAAGGGTGTTGAGAGAGGGTTAAGAATGAGGAGGCAGAGTCGGACGTGTAGATCAGAGGAATAGCGAAAAATGCAGGCGAAGGGAGGGAGGAGGAAGTGAGGTAAAGGAGCAATAAGGGAGGGGAAAAGAGCAGGATGGAGGGAAATGGGAAGAGGATACGATCGAGGGGAAGATGCAGGAAGTGAAGAGAAGCAACAGTAAGGTTGGGAAAGAGGCAGTAAAGATGAGGAATAGGAAGAAATAGGAAAGACATAAGGAGAAAATAAGCAGGTTGAGAAGAGAACAGAACTAAAGGATGGGTACGAGACAGTGAGGAACGAAAGACGAAAGGTAGACCAGAAGAAGAATGGAAGAACCACTCCAATTCCTTCATCTCTGGCATTCTTGACCTGCCAGGGATAATAGACTTCTCGTCCGCCTTAGTTTATGTTGTCATAAATACCAAACTATCAACACGGGACCGCGCCTGGAAGTTACCCGTATGTAAATCAAGGCTTCGGGACCAGATGCAACAAGTGGACCTGTCGATGATAAGATTTGGAGTAAAGCTCGTGGAATGCCTTGAGGTGATGGTGGGTTTGGAGGTGGAGGTGTGGATAGGGGGGTGTGGAGGTGGAGGTGTGGATAAGGGGGTATGGAGGTGGGGGATAGGGGGGTGTGGAGGTGGGGGATAGGGGGGTGTGGAGGTGCGGCTGGGGGCGTGTGGAGGAGCGGCTGGTGGGGGTGTGGAGGTGCGGCTGGGGGGGGGGTGTGGAGGTGCGGCTGGGGGGGGGTGTGGAGGTGCGGCTGGTAGGGGAGGGGTCTGGAATATAGCTGGGAACTATAAAGTGCTGAAAGATTGATAAACAAAACAGTTACAGCCCCGCTCCTGTGCCAGGTAAGTCCACAACGGGCTCACCATAGCCCGTGCTACTTGGAACATTTTGTTTCCAGTAGCTGAAACTTACACTGCCTGTAAAATGTTCTTCATTAGTAAAGCAAAACAGAAGAATCCCTCTCTAAATGAAGGGTAATTAAGGTGCACACAACGTATTTTCTCACCACCAAGTTCACTAATCACTCTTTAAATCAACTCCTGGAACAAGAGGACGTATTTCTATAAACTTGAAGATCATGAGTATTGGTATGATGAGGGTGGAGACTCGTATAGTGAGTGTGGGTACTCACTGGCAGGAGGAAGAGGAAGAATAATCAGGGGGAAAGCGCCAAGTCATTACGACTATATAGCACTGGGAAGGGGTCAGGATAAGGATTTGGGATAGGATGGGAGGAAGGAATGGTGCCCAACCACTTGGACAGTCGGGGACTGAATGCCGACTTGCATGAATCCAGACCGTCGCTCTACCGTTCAGTCCAAGTGACTGGTCACTTGGTATATAGGAGTATAACAACCCAAATATCATCTATATACACCTGAATATGCCACCACATACATCACAGCCACATATATAACATGACTACATTTACTGATATACCTGAATTATTACTTTTAAGGATAAAGGCTGCCATCACATTCGTATATGTGATGTTAATTACTATTGATAATTACGTTAATAGCTACAACGGAAACCAGTTCACACTGGGGCAAACGATGTTCGTAAATAATTCATAGCGTCAGGGGACAGGCAGCCAGTGTATATATATATGCATGTTAGGTTTACATCGAGGTTCCCCCCTTCTCCCAGGTCAAACTACTGACCCTCCTCAAGGATGCAATCCCACAGCAACCTGACTAACTTTACTACTAGGTAAACATGGACATTTAAGTGATAAGAAACGCCCCAAACCATTTCTGTCCCGCCTTGGATTCGAACCCCGGAATTCTCAATTGTGAGTCGATAACGAACCGACTGTCCTACAGAGGTTTTAATACTCTATCAATGCCTGGAAGACCACTGGATACTGCTCAGTTCGTTTGATCTCTTGATAATGCTGATTAATTCTGGGAGGGGAACTCTAATCCTTATATGAGACAAGGGACACTAATCTAACGTTAAAAAGAACAGTCCTTCTATTACTGAACTCGGGAATGGCATTAATACTCAAGAAATTCAATTTAACAATTAAATTTATTAATCCACAGCAAGTAACATCCTATGCTATTTAATGTCTAACAAGACAAATGAATCGGTGTGGCAAATACAATACCATTGAGGGTTGGAGTATTCAAATACCTATGTGGGTACTCGCAATACCATTGTGGGTACTCGCAATACCATTGTGGGTACTCGCAATACCATTGTGGGTACTCGCAATACCATTATGGGTACTCACAATACTGCTGTTAGTACTCACAATACCGGTGCTCTTGCACACAATATGAGTGTTGGTACATACACAATACCAGTATGTGTACTCACCATACTAGTGAAGGTACTCACCACACCAGTGCGGGTACTCACATGGGGGACGAGGCAACACGTGGTACCAGGTTACGGGAGCCCCTCTGATGGCGCCCTTGACGACACACGTAATATTAATATCGCTTCCAGCTTTCATAAACATGTCCTGCGTCCCGGTGATGGCAGCACTCGGCACTGTGGGAGGAGAGAGACGTGAGGCTGGCATTATGCCAGGTGAGGCTGGCACCCTGACTGGTGAGGCTGGCACCCTGACAGGTGAGGCTGGCATCATGACTGGTGAGGCTGGCATCATGACTGGTGAGGCTAGCACCCTGACTGGTGAGGCTGGCACCCTGACTGGTGAGGCTGGCACCCTGACTGGTGAGGCTGGCATCATGACTGGTGAGGCTGGCACCATGACAGGTGAGGCTGGCACCCTGACTGGTGAGGCTGGCACCCTGACTGGTGAGGCTGGCATCATGACTGGTGAGTCTGACACCCTGACTGGTGAGGCTGGCACCCTGACTGGTGAGGCTGGCACCATGACTGGTGAGGCTGGCATCATGACTGGTGAGGCTGGCACCCTGACTGGTGAGGCTGGCACCATGACAGGTGAGGCTGGCATCATCACTGGTGAGGCTGGCACCCTGACTGGTGAGGCTGGCATCATCACTGGTGAGGCTGGCACCCTGATTGGTGAGGCTGGCATCATGACTGGTGAGGTAGGAATTATGAAAGATGAAGCAGATAATTTATAACATCGAAATTTGGCATTGAGGCAGACTTGGTAAGGGTGGTGTTAAGCAGGTAAAGGTGGACTTATTTAGCAGGTAAGGGTGGCATTGCTAAGCAAGTAAGGTTGTTAAGTAATGTACACTGTTAAGCAAGTATATGTATATTGCGTGTATGGGTAAGAACGTGTAGATAATGAAGCAGCTGACAGGTTTGTGTTTATTTTGTGTGTGGGAAGCTCACATCATATCAAGGGAAGCTTACAGCACATAAAAGGGTCATAGTACATGGAAGAAAGGTCATACTTCATGTAGGGAAGGTCACAGCGCATGGAGATAACTCCCTCTCCTCACACAATCAATTACAACACTTTTCTCACTTCTCGCGAGAAGATAAATTTAAACAATACAATACAAGGCACTTTGTTGGGTCATGCCAGCTTCTCTAAGATTAAGGGTAATCCTTGCATGAATGGCGTAGCACCTTTGGTGTCCAATGATACGGAACAATCAGACATGATACTCAGCAGTCACACATAGCACGGAACAATCGCATAAGGAACGGAACAATCATACTTGACACGAAAAATCACAGGATGGGCAAAAACATATTATTTAGCATGGGTGGAACACGAACAAGGGGACACAGGTGGAAACTTACCATTCAAATGAACCACAGAGACATTAGACAAAATTTGTTCATTGTCATTCTAGTTAACAGATGGACTGCATTAGGCAGTGATGTGCTGGAGGCAGACTCCATACACAGTTTCGAATACTGATATGATAGACTGGATCTAATAGGCTCAGGAACTTGCACACCAGTTGATTGACAGTTGAGAGGCGGGACCAAAGAGCTGAAGCTCAACCCCCGCAAGCACAACTAGGGGAGTACCTGACACGGAACAAGCACCCCATCTGGAACAACCCAAGGCACTTCACGCTAACAGGAGAGGTCACATTTTTCAAAATGAAATACAATTTACAAGTAGCATCCGTGGGCAGCTCCTCCGGGCGAGGCAAAAATCCCCGAAGACTGAAGCCCTTCAAATGGAATGGGATTAAACTAGAGTAATCCTATTGATAGAGAGAGGACAGTGGGATATTGCTTGATGTTTTCTCACTGGCTGAGGGTCGAGCCCTCCAACTGATAAAACAAAGAGGAAGGCTGGGAGTTCTTTCTTGTTTCCTCACTGGAGAGAGAGAGAGAAAGAGAGGGAGAGCGAGAGAGCAACTTACCGACCACGTTAAGTGTAAATCTGCGAAAGATCTTGGGTTGAGTGGAGATCTGACATTCGTAGATGCCGGAGTCGCTGACGGTGGGATTGTCGACCTGCAGCGTCCAGTAGGGAGAGCCCGGGAGGTGGAGGGCGCGGAACTTGTTAGCTGTGGTGTAGGTGAAGTCGCCAGTGGTCAGCACGTGGAGGTCCTTCCGTCTGATCCACGACACCTGGGTCAGAGGGGATCGAGTCTTTATGTACTCATACAAGCATTACCGAAATATAAATATTGTATTGGTATTTGCTGGAATGTGTTTGTGTGTTTACAGATTTTGTTCGCTGGTAGTGTGTGTGTGTTTGTGTGTGTTTGTGTTTGTGTGTGTTTGTGTGTGTGTGTGTGTGTGTGTGTGTGTGTGTGTACTTACCTTGTTGTGCTTGCGGAGATTGAGCTCTGACTCTTTGGTCCCGCCTCTCAACTGGTGTACAGATTCCTGAACCTTCGGGGCACTATCATATCTACAGTTGAATGTGTGTGTGTGTGTGTGTGTGTGTGTGTGTGGTTTTTCAACTTAGTCTAAAACAAAAACTGAACAAAAAACATCATTTAAACAAATCATATTCGATGTGTAAGCCTTTAACACCAAACACTTCACTTATACTGAATTAAAAACACTTTTTGATCACAATGTTAATTGATTCTTTTAATTTATTTCCCAAAAAGGAATAATTTGATCATTTCATATTTCCGGTGACATACACGAATCACACTAATATGTCTTCCTTTGAAATATTTGTTATGGAGTTTGAACTTTCCTCCATATTTCGAAGCAGCAAAGAATAAATGATCCACATAAAAGCATTTTCATACATGGAAGAACACATTCATATACTGTTGAATACTGTTAAACATACACATTCATACACACCCTGTCACACATATTCTCATACACATTGCCACATACACTATCACAAATACAGTTAGGTAAATACTGTTACAAATATATACTGCATACGAAATGTCAATATATATTGCATATTCTTGCATATAGACTGTAATATTTGCATGATCACACCTGTCAATGCATTGTGCATACACTTTCATGTATGTACAATCACACAGACATTTACAATCCCCCCTCTCCCGCACGCTTACAATACCCCTTCCCCCCTACTTTTACAATTCCCCTTATGAACACATCTACCCATCCCTCACCGCGCAGGTCCCTCTACCTCATGCCAACACAAACAGTTGAATGCACCGCGATGAATCCATTACCAAACGAGTGTGACGCCTCGTGGCACTCATGCCAACGCGGACTAGTGGGAAATAAATACCCTAAGCCAATGACCAGCACAATGCCACGACAATTTATTAAGCAATTAGCCCTAAATCACCCGCTTAACCCTCTCAAACAACCAGTCATCCAAAAAAATCAATTACCAGTATTAATTAACAAAGCCAACTCATATATTCCTCATCAATTAATTTCGCAAAATAACGAATTAATTTAATACAGTATTGAATGATAATTAGCTTAAATTAGGATTATAATTCAGTTATCAAAAGGTCATCTTAAGTCATCTTAGAGTCTACCAGCATCTTTGAGTCTCAAGTTATCTAAGGAGACAATCTATTGCAACATCCGGGGAATGTTTGCAATAAGAGCAGCGGGGTTTTCCGTGATGGTGCCTCCACCTGGTTGGGGAGACGCCCAGGCTGGTAGGCAGAGTGGTGTTAGGTAGGCAGAGTGGTGTTAGGTAGGCAGAGTGGTGCTAGAGTACTTTCAACCCCACGTGAGACCTCTTCCTCTCTCTCTCTCTCTCTCTCTCTCTCTCTCTCTCTCTCTCTCTCTCTCTCTCTCTCTCTCTCTCTCTCTCTCTCTCTCTCTCGTCTCCTTCCTCTGCCAATGATTCCTGGCAGATAGCATTTGCAGCATTTTTAACCTGTCGTTTTTCGTTTTTCATTAATGCATTTCTACGATTTTGTCATCTCCCTTCTTTACAGTTTTTGGCCCATT